GAGTTTTATTTGATTTACATATTCATTTGAGATGCCTCAGTAGAGTCTGTCATAATTATAAAAAACCTGTGAATTTCTATGGAAGCATTTTTGCCAAATTTCGATATTTAGTTACAATTATATCTAACTCAATTCTTCATCATTTAATCAGTTTGAAGGGAATAATCTCTGTAAAATTATGTTGTGGCAGATATCCCCCGTTTCATCGCTTTGAAGAAAATAATCATATGAAGGAATTTTAACGGTAGCAGTAACTTTTTTGTTGAGATTACGAAAAATATAGTTTATCATAAAAGAGACAGAAAAAGTAATTTCTTCATAACTCAGTACTGATGAAGGAAATCATTTTTTTAGCAACCGTCCGGGAAGTACTCGCTTATCGGACGCGTTTTCTTTGAGAAAGCAGCATTTTTCCGGCCTAGTCCGGAATATACGTACTTCCCGGACCAGACCAGGAAAAAGTTTGCGTAATGAGCGTAGCGAGTTGAGCAATTTCATGAACAAAATAAAACTCACTTTTAACACAAATATCATACAAAGTTTTTTGTACAACTGTCCTATGTTCATAACGAAATAGATAAATTTAATACTTCTATAAAACATATTTTGACATCTCTTGTCAGTTAACTATTTTCATGTTATCGCATTTGCTGTGAAGTGGCCGTGCCAGGTGATGCCGAATCACGCGTTTTATTCTTTTCCTTTTTCTTTTCAGCCTTTTCTGTCGTCAGAAATAGAAGTTATAATAAAAACCTAAAGAATAAAAAATCTACTGGAATAGATGAAATTCCAGTTTACCTAATAAAAAAGTGTCTTACAGAAATTGCACCATATTTGGCGTATACTTTGAAAATATCCTTAGTATCATCTATCTACAAAGAAAATGACAGACATTCCTTACTCAACTATAGGCCTGTTGCATTTTTGAGTATATTGTCAAAGGTATTGGAGAAAGGGATGGCACATAGGCTAAACCAATACATAAAAAAGTTCAATATACGTAGCCCAAACCAGCATGGTTTCAGAGAAGGATATTCTACTGAAACTGCAACTAGAGATTTGATTCAGCTGATACAGGATAAGATGGAGGCAGGTGAGTTGGTCAATGGATTGTTTTTTGACTTATCCCGAGCCTTCGATACTCTTAATTTCAATTTCATCTTGACAAAAATGTATGCACTCGGTATACGTGGAAAAATTGAGGACTGGTTCCGTTCATTCCTAGAAGGAAGTAAACTGATAGTTAGAGTGAATGATAAAACATCTGATGAATTCTTAGTGGACTCAGGAGTTCCTCACGGTAGCGTCCTGGGTCCACTGTTTTTTTGTTATTTATAAATGACTTTCCCGAACATGTGAAAGATGGAAAGGTTTACTTGTTCGCAGATGATTCCTCAATTTTGATATTTGGCCCTAACAGAGGTGAACTAATATCAAAAACAAAAAACGTATTGAATCAATTCGACAATTGGTGTCAGAAGAACAATTCAATAATAAACTACTCGAACACTGTTGTTATTCAATTCCACATATCGACTACGGGAAGAGCCATCGGTGAAAATCTTTATATAAACAGTTCATCAATCACATTTCAAAGTAGCTCCAAGTTTTTGGGTGTAATCGTCGACGAAAACCTCAAATGGGACAAATGCATAAAGTCACTATGTTCCACCATGAATAGGCACTACTTTGCGTTTAAATATTTATGGAGCTGTTTATGTGAAGAAGGTCTCATGAGCGTTTACTATGCATTGGTATATTCTTCCATTAGTTATAATATTATAGTTTATGGTCCCGCTACTGGTAGCATCAGAGTCTTCATAGCACAGAAAAGAATTATACCATTGATATTCCACCTGGGTTTTCGAGAATCTTGCAGAGATGTTTTCAAAGAAAAGAGAATATTGACATTCACGAGTATCTATTTGTATAAATTATTAATATTTGCCTTCATTCATAAAAACCATTTTATTCAAAATGCGGATGTCCACCACTACCCAACCTGTCAAAGAAACCAATTCAGATTGTCAACTACTTGACCTATAAAAAATCCCCAAAATGTGCTGCGGTAAACTTTTTTAACATGCTACATAATGACTTGAAGAATCAGCCAAACCTGTTCAGTTTCAAAACAAAATTGAAATGGTATCTGTTATCTAGGTCTAAACCCCAAGTTTTACCACAAATCCTTCGACATGTCCATAGAGACAGTCTGGCTTTGTGTAAAACTTTTTCCAAGTGAGCGTTCCAGGTGAGTCTTTCATCAAGGACAATGCCAAGATATTTCACCTTCGTTCCAAATGGAATGACCACACCATTGAGGGAAAGTGGCGTTAGATAGTAAAATTTCCTTCTCTTGGTGAAGGGGATTAACACAGTTTTGCTGGGGTTGACAGACATCTGCTTTTTAAATGATATAACTACGGTTGAATGAACTGAATCACAATTTATATTTCTTAAGAATTGAGTTTCAATAACTATTTTTGTTCTTTATTTCCTATCCTCAATTCTAGAAAACACTCCATGATGAATAAGTATGTATTTGTATATACTTGTTACGCTCAACAAATATTTAGTTTTCCAGTTTGAAATCTAAATTACTGACTGTTTTTCAGAATGAATTTTTTAGGAAGATGTTTGTTGAGATGGAGCTGTTTCGTTTTCTTCATATTGAAATATGAAAAAATAAGTCCGAATAGATATCGGTGAAAATGTATTGAAAAATATTTATATTATTCCAGACCTCCGTAAAAGATATAAACCCGAAGTAATAGCCACTATTTTCTATACAAAACGTTCCAAATGCAATTGAATCCTACCAATCCTGAATTATCTACTGCTCTAGGGTTCAGTTAGCTGAAAGCTATAAATATTCAGCTAAATTCAGCTAAACTTTCGACAAAATTCCAGAAGTTCATTGTCGTAAGATGGCGCTGTAAAACTCAAGGAAACCAACTAAACCGTTAAAATGTCACTTTATAACGAACTTTTCACAACATATTACGTTTGTTATTCTTGAAAAATTTCTTGAAGTGTCTGTTTGTGAAAGTATCATGCGTTATTTGGAAGATATGTAGGTATATGATCAAAGAAAAATAGTTTTGTGGAAAAATGCCCCTTGGCTACAAAATTTGTCGCTACAGTTTATAATTTTCGGCTAATCAAATCACGTTCTTTAAATATTTCTTTGAATTTCATTATTTTTTACGAATGAAGAAAAATACGTAGAACTATATGAATATTCTATTGGAAATTATAACATAATGATGTTGGCAATGAATTTCATTCATGCTTATTGGCACCACTACACTCGTATTGAGAATTTCTCTCAATTAATAAATTGATATTTACTTATTGTTATGTAAGAGGGGGAAATAACAATTATGTAACGTGAAAATTGCAATATTCGTAGTCGATGTGGAAATCGAAACAGATAACTTTTCGAAACGTTAACTAATTATACATTGACTTATTACTTATTTTATTCAGCAAAAACCTCCAGAGCTTGAAAGTCGAGAACACCCGTGCTGAACGAAAAATGCCAACAGTTCTCAGTAAATCCTTGTGCCGATTACTGACTAGCTGTAAGTATCTGAATAACCTACATTTCAGTGGAGTGAAGATATATTCCTGCAAATTTTTCAAATTGCTGTCCAAGCGGAAACACTTGGGCGTTAACAAAAAGTGTAGCTATTTCGGCCCGGTCAACCAGAAGCAGATGAAGGTTTTGATTGAAGCAATAGTCAGCAGTGATACTTATGACAACGCGACCCTATTCACTTCCAACAGAAGTATAAGCATTAAAGAAAACTCCAACGACAACCCTGATGTGCCTAATATTGAAAATATCTGGCAGGATATTACGAATCGTGATTATGACGATTTCGTGGACGAACTTGATGAAAACTATAATCCCGAAGATTATTTTGTCCAGGCTCGTTGATCAGTTCATGTTCTTAAGTCATGCTGTACCTGTAACTGGGAGAATCAAGTCTGTGGCTGTGTCAAAGAATAGTGAAAAAAAAACCAGTTGAAATATTTCATTTTTAACAGTTTTATTGTTATTGGGATTAGCTTATGTATTATGTTTTCGAAATCATTTGTTTGAAATAATTTTCACAATAAAAATACTTTGACCATTCTCTTCAGCTCCCTGTTTCAACTTTAGTACTACCAAGCTAAATTGCTTTCTTCAACTCCGTAGTCCTTTCAATTCGACTTGCAAAAATGCCAATTTTTTAAATGATATAACTACGGTTGAATGAACTGAATCACAATTTATATTTCTTAAGAATTGAGTTTCAATAACTATTTTTGTTCTTTATTTCCTAAAGTAAATTATGGGTTTTGAAAACGGAAAAAGACCGTTTTCCACAACGTCAATCACTCGAGAAATGTAAGTATAGAAGTTCAAGTTTTTTCAATTGATTTGTAGGCAACATTTATGAGTACAAGTTACTAACTAATTGGACTCATCGGTGGTTTATATTATGGAATGATTTTTTGGGCTGAACTTTTCAGTTTGACACGTCAGCAGATTCTCTGCCGATTTAGCCTTGTTCATTTTTCAGATTGTGAAAGGTTATATAGTCAAAAAATCAGTAAAAAGTATTGAGTTCTTCACAAAAAATATCTTTAAGAAGATATAATAACTTCAGTTTTGAGGAAATGAGTAGGTACTTGTATTATATGTATTATACACTTGTACTTGATATGGTTGAGTCACAAATTTCAACGCACGCATTTTGAGTTAACATACTTCAATAAACTCCGCGACGTTCCATCCTATTCATTTTTCCTAAGCGGAAAGAAGCTATTTTTCTGGTGTACCAGACTGTACATCAAATCATCTGACCGTAATGAGAATCTGTAGTTACATGGTACGATGTTTCACATTCCTCATACTTATTACATCATAAATAGAACAGTAAACATCTATTGTAAATAATCTTTAAGAAGTCCAATTGGCTAAGACGGAATTAGTCTCGCCAAACCTTACACCTTTCTCTATTGCATCGGTCGACAACTGCAGCAGTGCAAGTGGTCATTGCAGTGGGGAAATCCTTGCAATTCTACCGGCGCCGTCAATGTACCGAAATCGAAAGTCGAAGAAGTAGGTATGTGATAACAGTACCGTTAGTACCAACAAGTGGCCCGAGTCGCAGCTGCAGACGAAGATGTTTGGACTGACATAAAAAACTACAAAAATCGCCACCAGCAGTTTCTCCAGCATGATGTCCCAGTTCGTAGTGTTTATCGGGGTGACAGTGATATGGTGTGCCTCGGGGTCCTCTTCTGATCCGACTACAGTAAAATATACCTACAACTCGTCAGATTTATCGTACTTATCCAATGGTATTCAGTTTCCAGTTGCCGAGAATGAGGTACAGCCGTTGCTGAACCAGGACAATTTTGAAAACGTTTCTCAAATTCAGTGGTTTTCGAGGATTTACGATCACCACAAGTGGCGAGACCATCTAGGAGAGGTCGATAACCAGAAATGCAAAGATGACATGATCACTTATTTGAGGGAACTAGCCAACACAACTTCCTGGGCGGTGAAAAGTGAGTACTTTCACTTTAATGCTGCAGTTAGATGTGATAATTGCTTGAATCATGTGGATCTCGCGCTGGTACATTGATTACCTAATTAAGTAAAATTATCGCGTAACGTGATAGGCTAGTTCGGTGTACCGCTTTCCAAAATATTATCATACAGAAATCATAAGTTGAATATCTGAAAGCACAATTGTCATTAAAGATTGAATAAAAATGAATATTGATTTTTATCATCTAAGGTTTGATGACGATTGATTGGAATACCTTTCTTATGCAATTCAAGTTTTGGGAATGTGTTGAGATTGAAAGGATGCAGAATAATCCTTAAACGGGATGATTCAAAGCTAGGTATATGTCTTACTCTTCCTTTCTGTGTATGCTCTACTAATTACATAACTACATGTACATAATATCTTCGTAAAATATCAAATAACATCAAATAAATACAGGCCGTTGTCGAATGAAACCTGAAGTACCAAACGTTTCGTTTGCTACATACATCTTCAGTGGTATGTGCGTTGACTGCGAGGACGAAAGTTATACCTCGAAGTCAACGTAGATACCCCTGATGATGTCTGGAGGGTGAGTGGAGGGTGAGTGCACTTATGCCACATGTGACCCATTGTGCACCCTCCCGAGGAGTTGTCCTCCTAGGTCCATCCTGTCCTTCCCAGGAAGGTGGGCAGGTCACTGCTTTATATCGGCAGGTGTAGACCAAGGCTCGCCGAACACACACTCTTTTATTGATGATAACTCCGGACACTCGCATAGGACATGCCTGACAGTTTCATCTTCCTGTTCACACATCCTGCAGAGAAGTGTGTCCACTAGCTCCATATTATCGAGGTGTTTTCTTAGTTGACAGAGGCCAGTCAAAAATCCTAATGTTGAGCGTAGACTTTTTCTGGTCTTCGCCAGATATTTCTTCGGCGCCAGCTTCTTAGGGTGATCCTGGGAAAATTGATCCTCTGATTCTATCACATCTCTTTAGAGATTGAGCATAGGTGTGACGTTTGGCTGGTTCCGCAATTGTGGAATTCATCAGGCCGTAGGTGTCACTAGGTCCTAAAATTCTTAGTTCGGCTACTTCCTTGGCTAAAGAGTCGGCAATGCGATTACCTTTATTCTTGTCGTGTCCTTTAACCCACTTCATGATATTTTTATTATCCACCGATGCTTTGGCTAAATCTTGGTGGCACTCTAGTACTAGCCCTGAGGTAACGCGTTGTCTGTTCAAGACTAATAAGGCTTGTCTACTATCAGTACAGATTGTTATGTTTTTGCCAGAAATTCCTTTCCTGGTTATTCCTTTTGTGGCGATTAAGATACCAGCCAGTTCTGTTTGAACCACGCTGGCATTTTTTCCATTCCTTACTTAGTCCTTAGGCTTAGTGATCTGGAGTACACTTCACATCCTGAGCTTTCTTTGGTTTTTGAGCCGCCTGCATATATGCTTATGGCATTTGTAGCATCTGACTGTGTTCTGTTTAATTTGTATTTTGTAGGGTTTATTGAACACAAACCTGGGTTCAATTGCATCGCTGGCTGCCTGCAGCAGAGGTTGCGCAGTAAGCGCTTCTCGCCATAGGCTTAGCCTCAACTTCGAGGTTTATACCAGTCGTGCGCAATTGTAACATGGCCAATAACGCAACTCCTTAACGTACAGGTCCATCATTTTGAAAAACCACATATTTATAAATATGTGACTCAATTTATGATGTTCTACATAGTCATAATAAATCAAATATACAGAGTGTATCAATGTCAATGAGTGCGACAATCTTCAGGGGGTGATTCTGTATGTAAAAATAATGATCGTTTGCTATACAACTTTTGCCCACAAATACTTTATTTTCCTAGAAACGACGTGTTGAAGTTTGCTTTGAAAATGAATTATTTCTGCATTGCCCTAAAACTCGAAAAAATGCTAACATATTGAACGTGCGCAACTTCACTGTATTTAGAATACTGAAGAAACAGCAATTGTATCTATTTCATTTTCAACGTGTGAGAACTCTACTACCTAGTCTACTTCTGCCAGTGAATTCTTCATCAAATTTCCCAAATACCTGATATTTTGGCATGTTGTTCATTGAGGAGGCTGATGTTGGACGACAGTGTATACGACACTTCCATAACAATCTCCTCAGGGCTAAAACAAATCCACATGAAATATTTGGAGCTCAGTTATCAGTAAATGTATGACTTGGTGTATTTGATAATTATTCAATCGATCCATATTTTCTAACACAACGACTAACAGGCTACTCTCAGCTCAATTTATTACAGGAAGAAATTTCTCCACAGCTGATATAATACTTCTGATTCATGCATGATGCTGCAACAGCCCATTTCAGCATTGATGTATACAATCACTCATATACAGTATATCCAAAACGTTGGATAGGAAGAGGAAGTACGGTGTATTGGCCTGCTCGATCGCCAGATTTAAATCCTCTAAACTTTTTCCAGATGGTAGATGGATTGCAGATTAGAATATACTCAGTGAATAGACGACTTGTTTCTAGAATTATGTTTTAAAAGAATTCAAAGGATTTACTTTTTTTGTGAAAACTCAGCACAGCATTAATGAACCACTTCATAATTTTTTTTAATTTTTCCGCACTGAATATGATATTTTCCTGATTCTATATTCTCATATCAAGAATCTCAATATTGTTTTCATTACTATCATCTGTTCATTCTCAGGATGCTTCTGCTATTGATGAACATTTTTCGAAAACTTAGTTTGTCAAACTCAAAATCGATTAGTCGTCCATTGTATTGTAACTCAAATGTAATACTTTCTGAAAAATTGTCTTTTGGCATCTTTGATTGATCCTGACGAATATTTTGAAGGGCCACATGTTTTCAGATGCAAATTGAAAGTAAAAAGACCATTTGAAACAATTACTGTCAAACAGAAATATTGTATTGCACAAAAATCACTTTTTCTTACTGAAGTACTGACTAAATAGAAAAGATGATTACCGTATAATTCGTGGAAACACGGAAATCACTTTTTCTTAAGTAGTGACTGAATAAAAAAAGGGATTTCCATACAATTCAGTATGTATATGTTTGAGAGTGATTGTTTTAGATAAACATTTTGTTTCACTTTATATCTGAAAAAAAATTTAGGGAACTTAATAACTTCCGTCCTTTCTTCTGTATTTTTCTACGTTTTTTGGATGAAAATGGAGAAGTATAAATCGTAAAATATATTAGTGAATGGTGAATTACTTTCTGAAAAAATGTTGGAGAAGCAGTTTCTATTTTTTGATTTCCAGTTGAATATTCAATGAGAAGTAATTTGAAAAGTTGAAATCATCACGATCTTATCTTAAGAAAATTAATGATCCTGATGATGCTCAATTATTTCAAATGAATCATTTTCGTGGTTTTTGTGGAAATATGTTTTCACAGAACTTAATTTTTTTAATTCAACAACCTATCACCTAAATCATGCAATATACCTTTTAACTAATCACTCTCTACCTAGTTATATTGTGTTTTTCAGTGTTCGATGCTTCTGGAAGATATTCAAGTCACTTCTTCTTTGGAAATGATTATTGGTTAGGATCCAAATCCTCATGCCAGGAGCTAGCCAATCTTGACACAAACATTGAAGTTCCTCCGTTTCCAGTACATTTTTATGTGGCTAAAATTAGAATCAATCTCAATAGAAAGGCAACCCCTGTGGTAAGTACTTATAAAGGTAATAGAGTTCATTGAGACAGGCGAGTGCCCTGCTGGGATTTTTCGTGACCTCAGCAAGTCATTCGACTGAGTCAATCATAATGAGTTGACATCGAAATTGTATGATTATGGATTACGAGGTGTAACATTAGAATGGATTTCCCCTTTTTTGAAACACCGTCATCAGTACGTACGTACGTATGTATTCCAAATATACAATCTGAAAGGGTTGGTTTCGTCAATTCAAAGAGTAAAACCATTACTATTGGTGTACCACAAGGATCGATCCTGGGACCTATTTTATTCATATTGTATTGTTACGACGTGGATAAATTATTGAAGGGAGTTCATGTAACAATGTATGCAGACGACACGTTATTAATAAATTCACAAAAAACGAATTTAATATGCAAAAAGATACAGAAAAAGCTCTAGAACTGATGCAGGACTGGTGCAATACAAATTTTCTCATAAAATCCAATTTAAACGATTTCATAGCTATCAAAGAAAATGCGATCCTCTCAGAATTAGGATGAGTGTTGATGTATCCATTGACTTTTTGTTGATGAAAATGTAAGCTGGAAAGGTCACTGTACGAACTCAATGAAAAGATTGAATTCTGTATCTTTCATGTTCTGGAATCTCAATGTGTCACGAATTAGGTTTGGAATATGTTCGTGGGGAAATTCTACTTTGGCAAAAAAAGTTTTTTCCATACAAAAAGGAATAGTAACAATACTAGCTAGAGTTCCTGGTACACATTCCTGTAGGGACATTTTCAAACATTGTAGAACTTCGACCCTCATGTCTGTGTCTATATTTATGAATTATCCGTCTTTATTTTTAAAAATAGACAAAAATTTGTTTGAGTCCGTAAATACATGCCAAAGAAAAAATTGCCACATTCCATTCACAAAATATTAGGTCTCTGACAATGCACCAACAATTATGGGTCTGTATATTCACAATCATTTACCTAAAAGTATAAAAGTATCGTATCACATAATTATGACCAATTTTCTCATTTTCACAATTTCACCGAAAATGTTCGCTATTGACGGTCGTCAAACAAATGCTAAACAACGCAGCGTCTTCAAACTTGGAAACATATGATTTATAGATTGTATACTTTCTACCTCTCGCATTATCGGCCTATTTCCCTAATTCCCACATTAGGAAAACGTGAAAAACTAGTATAACTAGTATAACTGTATTTCTGTCAAAACATAAAATCATCAATGAAGAACAGTTTGGCTTTCAAAGTGGTAAATGCACTAATGATGCAGTTTTCTCACTCATGGAAAAAGTTTATACTGGAATCAATAGTGGCGAGGTTGCTGCTGCAGCATTTTGCGATTTCTCGAAGGCTTTCGACTGTGTGGATCACGAAATACTGCTGAGGAAGCTTCCTTATTACGGTTTCAGAGGAGTGATACTGAGCTGGTTCAGCTCATATTTGTCAGGTCGTAGCCAGATGGTGGAAACAAACCACCGCTCAGAAATTGGAAGAATACGTAAGGTTGTACCTCAGGGTTCAATACTAGGGCCAACATTGTTCCTCATCTACGTCAACGATTTCACAAGTATAAATATTTCAGAGAAATTCACACTTTTTGCAGACGATACTACCATTTTTTGGCAATCGGACAATGCAAACGATTTAACTAAAATCATATCCAAGGATATGATGACAGTGAAAAATTGGTGTGATTCAAATCGTCTTTCTCTAAATATTTCGAAAACTAATATAGTAACTTTCAGATGCGAACTTGACAATATACCCATTGGGAGTAACATCATTGAGAACAAAAGTAGCCTAAAATTTTTAGGAGTACATATTGATAGTAAACTAAAATTTGAAGAACATATTTATACCTTGTGTAACAAAATGTCTTCTGGATGTTATGCAGTCAGAGTAGTCACAAATGAACTTGGTTTAAAAGCAGCTAAGACTGTTTATTTTTCTTTGGTGGAATCTCACTTGAGATATGGAATTCCATTTTGGGGAGTATATACTGGTTATCTACTTCAAAATATTTTAGTTTTGCAAAAACGAGCCATGAGATATATGTGCGAATCAAAACGTACAGACTCTTGTAGATTACTCTTCAACACTCATGGAATTCTAACAGTGATTTCTATCTTTATAATGGAAACAGTTTGTTTAATTAAAAAATATTCG